GTGTGTGTGTGTGTGTGTGTGTGTGTGTGTGTGTGTGTGTGTGTGTGCGCCATCTGAATTAATGTTTGCAGCACATTTTACAGTCTAGCGTAAGGAGGAGGGAGTGAACTTAGCATTGCTTTACTTTTTCACACGTTGTCCGTTTCGCCTCTGTTACTATTGTTAGTACTACCTACCTACTGATACATCAATCCACTCTGATATATCGATTAAATGGTTATTAATTCAATTGCCTCAAGGCAAAATGTAAAACAATCACATGTCCATCTAGTAAAATCATGTTAGATGGGCATATGACATTGCATCATATCAATCACAGACTTGTGAATTGAAATGAATCAAAATCATATCATGACAGACTTTGTGATATTGAGAAATATTGTATCATGATCCAAAAAAAAACAACAACAATGTAATATTGTATCATGATAAATCTGGTGATTTACACACCTGCCTTGCTTTAAGGCACAAAGGTGCACGGGGTGGACTGGTTATACCCCACTTGCTGTCTCGATCCATTCATAGTCTCACAGAGGTGGTCAGAAGGTGTCTGAAGTCCTGGATTGAGGAGTTTTGTGAAAGAGCCTTTAAGGTTTGTCACAACCTTATAACCCGTCTGAGGTCTGGACTTTGACGGTACCATTTTAGCACTTTTATTTATTTATTTATTTATTTATTTATTTATTTATTTATTCATTCAGCTATTCTGTGGATTTGCCGCTGTGGTTGAGATCATCAGGCCTCGTGCAAGAACTGTTCGTACGAACAGATTTGTTCTTAAGTTGTGCGTAAGATTTTTTTTCAGATACGAACAAAATTCACGAGTGGTCCAGACCTGTCATGTATTTTACGAGCAGTCAGTCTGCTGTTATCCAGACGGGTTTTTCTCATTAATAACTTAAATTGAACATGAATTGGTTAGATTAAGTTAAATTGGCTAGCGGTGCGCGACTGCTCTTCTTCTGAATAAATGAAAACTATGAAACACAGGTGTTTACACTTAAATTAAAAATATTTATATGATTTAGATTTTTATTTCTGTGTCTGACCCACAGGAGACACGACATTTACAGCAGTCGTCATTTCATTCTTCAGCTTTAGCAGGTCTGACGCTGCTAAAAATGACTTTTTTTTTTCTGGATCTCTGACAGCAGGACTTCAGTCTCCGAACTCGTAAAGTTCTTTTTTACTTCGCGATGTCATTTATGAATGGACACTTCTGGTATGTCGGGCAGGAAACGTAGCCTTATATGGTGTTTTTAGGGTGGTAGATTATGCTAATCTCCTCTCCTCATGCTCAAGCAGCTGATACGCATTCATCAGTTCACGCAGCTCATTTACACACTTTTCCTGAAGATAGAAGAGTTGCTGAATCTGATGTGGCATGTTCGTACGAACCCTTCATTCAAACAAAAGTAAGATAAATTATTGGGCCTCATGCAAGAACATGTTCGTATTCTTATCCTAAATTTCTCTTACTTTTGTTCGTACAAAGGGTTCGTACGAACATGTCACGTCAGATTCAACAAATGAGCTGCGTAAATTCCACCTGTTCATATCCAGCTGCTCGTGCACACAAGAGGAGATAAGTATAATTA